GGATTTTTTCCCTGAAGGTAGAAAATATTCCTGACATTTTATTTGCTGTTAACGAAGAGCTTGGGTTGAAGGAATCTTTTGTTTTTTTCAATTAGCAGTAATTGCAAAAATACACACTGTTCTCAAAAGCTCTGACTTCACCTTGGCTTGATTTAACTTCCTGTATTCCTGTATCACCCTGCTGATGCTTTTGTACCAATCCCTGTGCTTAACATGTGCCTAAGCTTAGTTTGTCATCTGGTTCAATTATGTAAAAATATTTTCCTATTGAAGTTTCCTCAGCTTTTTCCTTCAGCTCTTGGCTGTGGCAGCTCAAACAGATTAATGAGACTTGGAAAAGCCAACTGTTTTGCTTTGTGAAGAACTGTCATTGAGTTTTGGGAAGATACTTTAGCCTTTTGGTGGGGATTTCAGTGGGCAGAAGCATGAAATAAGAAAACTTGGTGCCTGTAGCTACTTAAGGAAAACATTTAAGATGAAAAATGAAGCATTGTGGTTTCATGAGAAACTGCCAAATGTTTGATAAAATTTCCCAAAAGATCCATAGTAACACATTCATAGTAACTTATAAGTTAATTGCAGATAGTAAAACTAACTGTATTTGAAAATTTAACATTTTTAATAAAGTATAACAATTTGGGATACTTTAATGAACTCTCTTAATCTGGAGAAGAGGAGGCTCAGGGGAGACCTTAGAGGAGATTTCCGGTGCTTAGATGGGGCTACAAGAAATCTGGAGGGTGACTTTTTACAAGGGCATGTACTGACAGGACAAGGGGGAATGGCTTTAAGCTGACATAGGGGAGATTTAGATTAGCTATTAGGGAGAAGTTCTTCCCTGTGAGGGTGATGAGGCACTGGCACAGGTTGCCCAGAGCAGCTGCTGCTGCCTCATCCCTGGCAGTGCTCAAGGCCAGGTTGGATGGGGCTTGGAGCCACCTAGTCTAGTGGAAGGTGTCCCTGCCTGTGGCAGGGAGGTGGAACTAGATGAGCTTTAAGGTCCCTTCCAACCCAAACCATTCTGTGATTCCATGGTTATGGCTGATATTTTAATGTCTGTTTGATCACTTCTACTTTGCACTTGACAAAGAAGGAATTGTGTGTTTTCTGTTGTAGAGTAATAATTTGTAGGATGTGCTATAAATTCTCTAATTAATTGGATTCTTAACAATATGAACTGTTTCTATAGCTAAAGTGGTTCAGTGTGTCTATGTTAGAACCCAGAACCTTGCATGTGTTCGAATGGCATTATTTTTGAAGAGAGCATGCAGAGCTGTATGCTGAAGAAATCTGGAGCTGTGTCCATCTGGCTCAACAAACTTCAGTGAGTAGCTTACCTGATTGTCAAAATAGTAAAGAAATTGTATACAGAGGGAGGTCACCAACCAAATTTCTGTTATATTGAAAGTCGCTACCCCTGCATTTTCATGTGAAAAAAAATTGCAAGTGGTTTTAAGCACTGCTTAGAAAAACTACTGATACTCCAACTTCAGGGATAACCAGATGTTTCTCTTGTAGTTGAAAAACACCCTGAGAACTTCTGTCATAACCATGTGTACACAAGCTTATCATATGTGGCAGCCTGTATACAAGGATCTTATCTTTTTTGCAGTTAATCTTTAGAGAGCTTATTCTGATCATATTTTAAATATAAGGAATCTTCTTTTATTCGTGCTTTTGTATTAAAAATAAAAATAAAACAGGCATTAATTCAGACCATAAACAAGTGGAAGTTTTCATCATATAAGGGAAACATTTCTTGTAAATGAGGATGGGATAGTGTTTAAGCATCATACCTGGAAACTATTTCTACTTTTCAAGTTGGATAAATAAAACTCAGCAGCGTAGAGTGGGCCCGAATTGGCAGTTTTTATACTATTAGTCTCACATGGCTAAGCTACAACTACTTCTGCCAGTTTCCTGCTTCAGGTCTTCATCTGATTTTGGAGTCATTGTGCCAACAATCAGAAAGAACAGGTTTTAGTTCTTCATATCCCTTTGCATGAAAGATGGATTGTCGCAGATGCTGTGTATCATTAGACTGGACCATTTGTTACAAGCACCTCTTGATCAGTATATCCACAACTATAAACAGCCTATAAAGAAAGTATTATGCTCACCTGTGTGCCAAAAAATGATGTTTCAACAAATGGCAACTTACTGACTAGTTTAGCATTTAAAAATAATAACCTGCCACCCCGGTGTTTTTTGAGTGGCCTTCAACTTCAAAGAAACCTTCTTAAAACAAGAAGGTGAGCTTTGTGAAAATCAGAAGCAGTGTCAGCTGTCAGCAGGTGACTCTGCAGTGGCCTATACACTGCTGCCTGTACAGTTCTGTCTTTTGGAAGAATGGCCATGAGTCTTTGCTAAAGGACAGTTCATTTGCAGACAGGGTAAGGCAGAGGTTCAGTGCAGGAGGGACCAGAGCTAACTCAGTTCAATTGCTACATCTAGCTTCTTTGAACATTTCAAGGTTTTGTGTTGTGGTTTTAAGTGTTTGCATGAGATGAAATGTATATGGATTCCTCCTCTTCTGTGTGTGCTTTCTCTTAATTTGAACTCTTTCCCTTTATTGCCATATCTAACGAGTTCCAAGCCACTTGTAATAAAATACATGGTCCTCAATGGCAGTTTTGGTGTCACTCATGAATGGTGAACAAGGAGACCATCGAATCACTTTTTGCAAAAATTCCCCATGAAGAAGCACAGGTCATTACTTCATGGAGTCAAAACTTCATGTCAAAGCTTCCAGCAAAACCATATATTCAAAATAATTCTCGTTGGAAACATTTTAAACAGTAGTTATTGCTTTGATGTTGCCTTGGTTATATTTTAATGCTTAATTAAAAATAAAACTCCAAGCATCTGAAATTATATTGTACCTTAAAGCTCAAAGAGAGTAGTTTTGGTTTTAAGCAATTTTTTTTGCTCAGTCAAAAGAAAAGAAAATGTCAGGCTATTTGATGTTGTGTCACACTGGAGGAGTACACTGTTGGCACTGATATATATGTGGTATTGTTTTCCATGAGAATACTGATGTGAATAAAAATTAGTTAGGAGAATGAGAGCATGAAGGAAAAGGTCCACAGAAAAAGTAAAACCTGTTATTGTGGGTAGGTTCTGCAGAGGTTTGTTGGTGTATCAGCTCAGTTTAAGAGATAGCTAGACAGGAAGACTGTGCCCTGTTTCTGAAGGTTTTGTTAGGCCCATGCTATTGGATTCTTTGTCTGCGCTGAACCTCATGAGTGGCAAGGGCTGGGAGCAGCTAGGTGCTGTCTCTTAAGCTGCAAGCCTGTTCTGCACTAACTGCTTCACTTTCCTCATGTTTAGCATCCCCAGTGGGCAGTAGAAAAGCACTTTGTGTTTCTCTCTCTTAGTTTTTTGGGTTTTTTTCCCTCTGTCTTTCTTTCCTGCATTCATCAGTTGTGTGTGTGAATAATTCTGTTTCCTGCAAGTATCCAACAGACTCTAATTCTGAAGTTGTTGAAAGCCTGCAGGTGACGCTTTAGCTACTGCAGCAGTTGCTGTAAGGATGGATATTGTTGAAAGGAAGCAATGCTAATTGTTTAATTTACATTTCCTATGGGCGAGGCATGCAGTTTTCTTTTCCAACACTTAAACAATTGCTTTTACCTGAGTGGTACTATAGGTCTGCCGCTACAGTATCTTGCCTGGTCCTTTGGATAATGGACAAGTCTTTGAAAATAAATAAAAATAGTGGCCTAGCCTGGATGCTTTGCTGATATCAGATGATTTGTGCTTTTTCCCATACATATGCACAGGTACTTTCCAGCAGTACCAGTATCAAGATAAGTCAGTCCATTAACTGTTATTGCAAGAGTCAAAATCAGTATGGAGAGAGGAGACTGCAAAAACCAGTGTGCTGTATTTTCAGAGTAGTGAATCTCTATTCTTCTGATCTGGGTACAAAGACCAGATGTCCCCATTACAGAGGGGTTGTAACAGAAACTCTGTCACTGCCGATGTATAAATATACATTTGCCATAGTCTTGATTCTAACATGCCTGCTGTTTAAAGCTGCCTTACTGCTCTGACCCTTGTTACTTGAAGGTACTTGCAGCTGTGAAGCATGAGAAGAGTGTTGGATTTTCTGACTGTGAAGAAGGATGTAGTTTCTGCTGGTGAAATGATGAGGACACCTGTTCCCTGGAAAACAGATTGAAGCCACTGGCTCTTTTTGTTTAGGGCACAGATAATTATTGGTCGTTGTGGCTGCAGGGCAATGTTGATGCAAACCAGGCTGAAGTCAGTGAGTCCCACGAGAATCTTAGTCCCATGAGGAAGCATTATTTAAGCAGCCTATCCTACAGGATATAGCAGGACAGAAAATACTCTGAGAATTCTCCATTGTTTTTATAATTGTAAATACTTGCTCAAGGCCTGAACACTAACTCTGTGGTCTGCAGACACTGAGCAGCTTTCTTACTGGGGATGGACTGAGATCCTCATGGATAGGTGTTGGGTGTGCTGCTATGGTGGCAGCTTCTTTCTGGGCCTGCAAACTGTCAAGTTCAAAGACATGCTGTTAAACATTGGTTTAAGTCACTGTTTTGGTGCTTAGCTGGGTAGGATACATATTGAGAGTGCAAGTAAGCGCTCTCTGATTCATCTTTCTGCCTGATTTACAGCCCCCTTGTTACTGTTGTTGAGCCAATAACTTAAGAGCACCAAATTCTGTGTGTGTGTGTGTGTGTTTGGTTTTTGGTAGTTCAGTTTCTTATGAAAGGACTAGGAAAGTATTATGAGAAGACTAACTTACATGCATAATTACAGGCATGCACAGTGCCATAAAAAATGGAGGAGCACTTGGTACAGGTAGAAGGTAAGTCTAAAAATACACAAATAGGACTTGCAAGTGACAAATTGTCAAAATTCCTTGTAACAGCACATCAGTAATGTAGCACTGGCAGATGTCTCAGTCATTTTATTGATAAATGTAATGTGGAATTTTATATTTTCCAATTTTTTTAACTTTGCAGGGACCTGAGCTGATGAATAAATATGTTGGTGAATCTGAACGAGCAGTGAGAGAGGTGAGAAGGGGCAAAACATATGTAATACTGTAGGTTAAACATTCTTGACATTCAAATTCTTCTTTGCTTATAAAGTTACCTTTAAGCTTTAAAAAACCCCAACTTCTTATGGTTTAAATTTGAAAAAGAAAAGAAGCAGAAAGGATGCTTTGTGTTGTTTAACTTTGTCCTGTGTTGGCCTAGTGATGAATGTCGAATTTGGGATCCAGTAGCAGCTTTAACTGTATGTCTGCATTGGGCAGTATCATGAGTAACTTCTGAAACATCTGTTGTTTTGTTTTTTATAAAAGACAACAAGGCTTATGTCTGTTTTGTGATGCTCTGTAGCTTTTGAGGTGCGCACAGGGTGATAGTATTCTGTAAAAAGTTTTCCATTCCCTAGAACTCAGTGTTTTGTTTTTGTTTTTCTAGATATTTAGGAAAGCCAGAGCGGTGTCTCCTTCAGTTCTTTTCTTTGATGAAATAGATGCCTTGGCATTTGAAAGGGGCAAGTAAGTTATCCTGTTACAAAAATCATAAGATGTTTTTGATAAATGATTCTTACATTGTGCTTACTTTTCTAGAATTATTTCATTAAATATATTAATTTCACATGCAGAAGGACAGCATTTGTCAATTCTACTCAAGTGTATTTAACTTGGCATAAACAGGTAAGCTGGTAGAATTCTTCCTTTCTCATCTCATTAGGAATGATTCTACTGGTTCTCATGCCCTTTGGCTCTTTTCTGTGGTTTTAGTTTGCATTTATTTCTAGCAAAGAACACTTTTTTTTTTTTCCCAGGCTTCGTGCACTGGCCTAATATAGTGTCTCCATCAAGCAAACAGTATGATCATATGCTATATGAAAGGAATTTCCGTGAAGGCTACTCATAGCCACTTACATTAAAGCATTTTGCCAGACTGGGAAGAACTTCATGAAGAGATTTGGGAACACTTACATGCTTTCATGTGTGACATTAAAAGGGGGTTATTATGCAAGCAGCTAATAATGTGTTTGAGTTTTTTTCTTAATATCCTGCTCTGTAATGATACTGAGAGATGTTTAGCTCTTGTCTGGAGGAAGATTATACCTGGTTTTACTTGCTACTGCAGCATTTAAGATTTGACAGGCTTGGTTAGTGGTCTTTCTTGGGTGATACCTTCTCATAATATTTATAATGTTGTTATAAAATACCACTACTTGTGAGCAAGTACCTGTTTATGTTTTGGTTTGCATTAAAATATCAAATCTGCGCATGCAGAAATTATTTGTCCAGTTTAAAGGTGCATCACAACTTCATCATTTTTCTGGAAAAGAAGTGGTTTTGACATCCATACAGATTCCTTTGTGTTGCAAAAGGCACATTTGTATCAGCAAGAAAGGATAAAAGGTGTTGTTCTGGCATTTCAGCAACACAAATAAATAGTTTGTGTTACAGGAGGTGGCATCACATGTGGCACAGAGCTGCCCTGTGAAACTGCTAAGGAATAAACACATTTTCTGTTGAAAATGCAGGATCTCATAGAATACATCTTCATCGGCATCCTTCTCATATGCCATGTATGCAAGTGTGAAATTTGTAACTTCCTGAAATGCCAGGCACCCTGCACTACGCTCTGAAACACCTGCCTACTTATCCCAACAGAGAAGTTGCAAAAATATGCGCTGGAAACAAGCCAATGGGGGGGTGAGGGGGGTGGGGGTGGGAAAGATCTCTCCCTGCTGTAATTCTGAATGTGTTTAGCTTTCAGGAACACCGCTTCAAGATAAAAACTTTTGGAAGAAAAAGCCATAATATATTTTAATCAGTCCTTTTCACACAGTGCCCTAGAGGTGTTGAGTTTGTTTGCTTTATTCTTTTAAGGAGTAAACAACAGAATTTTACCTTACCTGGAACCGTCTGTGGGGGGTAGTAGGCCTGGCACAGCTTGCTGAAGAATGTGGTATGACCTGCTGCAATCATGTTGTGCTGGAGACATCTGGTTTTGGAGCTTTAAAAAGAACAGAGTGAGACACAAATATTTCGTTGTCAAATCTGAACCAGATGGGAGGTAAAATATGTAGCAGAGTCTTCATAAAATTAATCTGAAATTAAATGGTGTAGGAAACCAGACAAGGCACTTATTAAAAATGTCCTTTTTTTACAGGCTGACTTTTCACAGTAGGAATTTGCAAATGCATTAGGGATGCTAACAATTTTTGGCCTCTGGAGGTCCATTTCCTCTAGTATTATTAACCATACTGGAGTTTTCAAGGAAACACCTGTTTATATTGTCTCCCTGTTCCCTCTGTTGGTTGAATGATTTTCCACCTTGGCAGTGATTACTATATCACACTTGACTGTATCACTATGTGATACAGCTTTGTAAAAGTTTTTCCTCTACGTTTAAATCCTTGTTAGGATTCTGTGAGCTTTGTGCATAAAGCGCTGTATCCCAGGTCTCCCAGACAGGTAATGTCTCCTGATCCTACCAGGACATGTCCAGAGGTATGGAGAAGCCTGAACTATGAAGTTGTGCGAGTAAATTTATGCATAGTTCAGATCTGAAATACAGATGTGAAATAACACTCAGTAATTGTTTAATGCTTTTTTTTCTTCAGAGCACTTTGCAAAGTATTCATTAACCCTTTGTTGCTTGTTTAGATTTGACCAGAGCTTGTGGGTTTAAAACACAGATGTTTTGCTTCCAACCTCCTGTAGAGATTGCTAACTGTCCTTTCTCAGCAGCAGCCACATACAAGCTGACAGACTTTGTAATTAATATTATAGCGGAGTCTCTGTCACTGCACAAACCATTACCCTATGACAAACACAGGTTGCATTCAAATATAGAATCGTAGAATAGTTATGGTTGGACAGAACCTTAAGATCATCTAGATCCAACCTCCCTGCCATGGGCAGGGACATCTCTCACTAAATCATGTCACCCAAGACTCCATGCAACCTGACCTTGAACACTGCCAGGGATGGAGCATTTCACAGATTCCTCGGGCAACCCGTTCCAGTGCCTCACCACCCTCACAGTAAAGAACTTCTTCCTTATATCTAACCTTAACCTTCCCTGCTTAAGTCTGAACCCATTACCCCTTGTCCTATCACTGTATGCCCCAGTGTTTTACTTATTAGATATTCCCAAGCCATGACTCCATAATTGTAATACGTCTAACATACTTCCTAACCTAACTGTCTCATGTAGCGGTTTTATTTTACAAAATTTATGTGTACTTATTTATTAGTTTTAACAAATAATACTTTGAGGTCAGCAAAAATTACATTAATTGGCATTGTTCAGTGTTAAAATCTTATTTTTAAAAAGACTATTTCTTATCCAGGCGTCTTAGAAGTTCCATGTTTTTTTCTATATGAAATAAGCTCTGGGGTTTTTCTTGTCTGTCCACACCTCTCTCCCCATTAGGCCTGTAGGCAACAACAACTAATACATATTAATCAGGAATTAAAAATGTGGGCTGTATACATACCAGCCTTAAAGAGAAATACAAAAATCTAATCCTGAATCTCTGAAGAAAATAGTTCAGTGTCACAATGTGGCAGTGAAGATGAAGATAATTTTAGCTGTATCCAGTTCTGCATTTTGTCCTGTTACAATGCACTTCTAGTGCTCTTGCAAGAATTTATTTTTTTTTACTTTCCTCTCTTCATCTGGTCTATGTTGAGGATGTTTAGAGAGAATTGAAAATAAATCAGGATCTGAATGGACTGGCTGTAAAGGGAGACATTCACTATAACTGGTTGGAGCGAATAGATAAACCTGCAGAAGAAAAGATGGTAAAAAGTTAGAGATGTCACAATGAGCTTTGAGTAGGAAAAATGATTGAGGTAGGAGAAACTAATGCAGATCAGAAAGGCTTTTCATAGAGACTTCTCCTTTGCTGCCAGTCAGTTGTATGGGAGAAGCTCCAGCAATGTACCACTTTACATCTTTAAGGCAGAACGGTCATTTTGTGGATCAGTATGCAGCCAGGAGCAGTTGTGCACCAGGAGAGGTGAATGACATGATGCGCAGAGCATTTTCCACCACTCTATGGTTTGCATTTGCATGTGCTTCCATTAGTAGGTTAGGGCTGTTTTTTATTTCTCTTTACTGTCGAAAGACGTTGTTATGACTTTGTGTGAGAGGCTGCGCTCAAGTGAGACCTGTAGAATTTGTCCAGATATAGCAGCGCATGAGGAGGAAAGTTTTCCTCACAGTAGTCCCTTGCCCAGACAAAGCTTGAGAGGCTTTACAAATTGCACAGCTGCAAAGAGTTATGGGTATTTGTTATCCCTTGGTATCCTGACCATGTAAACCCTAATTCTTCTGGCCATTAGAGGTTGCCAAGAGGGAAATGGCTTTGTAATTAGACTTGAAAGTGATGAATGAACATGAGTCTGTGTAAATGCAGCGCAGACAGTCTGTTTGCTGAACTCAGAAAAATCTCCGTGCTTTGGAAATGGGACGTTGTTTATATAAGTAGGATTTTTAGAATTTTTGGGCAAGAGACATATTTGTTCCTTTTCTTGTTTTTCACAAGCAAAGCATTTTCCCCTTTAACTGCAAATCTTTGTAATGTAAGATGGAAAATGTAGAGTAACGTGAAAGACACAGATAAATTCCATTTTCAAGGCAGGAAGTCGGGGAGGGGGGAAGGGGGGTGAAGGGACGAAATAAATACCTTGCATTTGAGTTGCAGAAACCAAACCAAGTTGATAGATGAATAATGCTAACCTTTTCAGAGTGAGGGTAGAAATGACAAAATAAAGGGACTTTGGTTCCAATAACCCAAAACTACAATATGATGATGTTTTCTTGTATACTGGGGAGGATAGCTACATTCCTAAGATACAGTTTAAAATGCTCAGAATCTCTGAAAGATGTACTGTTTTCACTTTAGGTATTTAAATATTTGCAGTCTTAACTTTTAAGGCCTTCAGGCTTCTGAATGAAACTGTGAAGAACAGCCTCTTTACTGTGCCACCTCTACTTTCAACAGGGACTGTGATAAGTCTTCCATTTTCAAGCCAAGATATCTTTCTGGAATATTTTAGCACATATATAGAATCATAGAATCATAGATACATTGTACGCTTTAGCACATACTACACTGTACACCTGAATATACCATTGCATTTTCAAATCTGAGCAAATTCCATGGTGTAATCTGCAGCCTCTGTCATGAAGGAGGTCACTGTATTAAATTTTATCAGTGAAATCTAGGGGCTGGAGTGAAGTGACACTGGATAGGATAGAAAACATATGGGGCAGAAAACCACCTTTCACAGAGTAAATCACCAGTGGTAGAGCTGGAGAGAGGAATTGTCACCCTACTATTACTCATGCTAAGGCTAAAGAATACCCTGAAGAAATGGAGTTTCCCTGTGCCATGCTTGCATTGTGAGGGACCCAGTTCTAGTGGCTGGCTCAGTTAGGCAAGAAGCTTTGTGTTTCTGCCTTCTGTTGGCACTGGTTGTCCCTGAACTGGGGAACATCAGCTAGATTCCCTGCAATATCT